CTCGACAGCACTTAACAACAACAAAGACAATATAGCTAGAAGGTACATATTAAGTAATTCACTGCACCTCAGGCTATCAGATTCAAGGAAAGACAAGAAAGGATCTTTCTTAGAGCCTTCAGAGAGCACATAGATCTCCTGGTACCCTGAATTCAGCCTCCAGAATTGGAGTGTAGCCAATGATCTAATGTCATGTCTAGCCCTGGTCTATGTTGTTGTAGTTGTTGTTAAGTGCTGTTGAGCAGGTTCCGACTCATAACCACCCTTTATAGGGTTTTCGAGGAGTGGCTGGTGAGCTTGAACCGCTGACCTGGTGGTTCAAATCAACTTTGAGTCAGGCGCTTGTTATCCTAGAGCACCATCCCAGGAGTCCAGCATAATCTATAACTCTCACCAAACAGTGCTTCTGCCCTGCCGAGTCTGGGTAAGCCAAGATACCAATAGCACGACACGATTTGGCTTTGGATGTTAGCAGAATGAACTGTAGTTGTAAACACTTGAAACTCTAGCACAGGTATAAAATGAGGCATCTCAGAAGTGGGAGGGGATCTCACTACTATTAAAGAAGAAGAACCAGGAGTGGATTTTGCCATTCGGATCCCCCAAATCCCTGGGCATTAAGCTTCATTGACCCACGGACAGAAAGCTGTGGTACCAGAGGAGTAGCAGAGGAGCACTAGATAGAGCTGTGGCCTTCTCAGCCCACAGAGCAAATAAAGCTGAGTGATTTGGGCAGGAAGCTTGCTTGCAGAGTGGGGTCCCTCCAGGCACTTAAGTGAGGGAGCTAGGTTTGTTAGAACTGAGTAACCTTCAGGCTTATGGTGGAGTGGTGTGTCCTGTGGGCACTTATCAGCAGCTGACTGAAACAACTGTGCCCTAAGCATTTCTGACCCCAGATTATAGACTGTTAACTTCCCTAATAAACCCCAGAACTCCAACTGTGGTGTCTGAGTGCTGTTTGGTCATAGTAATGAATGAATGAACCCAACATGAGGAAAGAGTGTTTGGGGAGGATGGTTTGGTGCCATATAATTTTTCAAGAACTGCAACATCATGCATTTGTGTTGCTTCACTTAGGGGACGCTGATCTTCTATAAGGAGTGGTGATGGGGATATTTGGGAACAGTTCGTGGAGATGGTTGAACAATGTAACAAACACTGTATGTGAAGCTGATTGATACCACAAATGTTTTGTTACTCAGCTATTTACCACACACACAATTTCTGATGTTTAAAGACGTCCACTTTGCTGTGTCTTCTCCCATCAGCCCTGGGAAAGTAGCACAATGGCCCAATGCAAATCAGATGAAAAGCAGCTTGACTGGGTCTCTTGTCTTTCCACAATGGAAATAACCTGTGATAGACAGCACAATACAGACTCCTGGTGTGGCACTGAAGGATCAGCACTGGACTGTGAACCACAAGGTTGGCAGTTCAAACCCACCAGCTGCTCCTCTGAAAACTTATACAGGGTTGCTATGAGTCAAAACTGCCTCAACAGCCTTTAGCAACAACAACAAGGTAACACAATACCCATGGGGAGAAGTCACCTGTTATTGGTCACCTGGTGGTATAGACTGAATGTCTTCTCCCAAAAGAGGTGTTGGAATTCCAACCCCTGTGGTAAAGGTGCTCTGGTGGGGCAGTGGGTTAAACGTTGGTCTGCTAACTGCAAGCTCAGTTGTTCAAACCCACCAACTGCTCCTTGGGAGACAGTTGAGGCAGTCCACTCTTGGAAAGATTTACAGTCTCAGAAATCCTAAGGAGCAGTTCCACTCTATCCTATAAAGTTGTTATGACTTAGAATCAACTCGATGGCCGGGGTTTGGGGGTTGTGTTTGTGGATTGAATCCCATTTGGGGATAGGGTTTTGTCTGTTATGATAATGAGACCATTTTCATGTGGTGGAGGTGGTGGTGGCAGTGTGCCATAGAGCGGTTCCGACTCATAGCGGCCCTGAATAGGGTTTCCG